CTCTCAGTTGCTCTCTCAACAAGGCACAAGATAGGGAATGCTGCCTGATAAATAGCTAACTGCAAAGTAATTTTGATCGTTGGTATCGTACAACAACTGTGGAATCGATAAATATCATGAAAAACATTATAATGAATATAATCCTGTACCATATCAGTACATCATCGAAGCTGTAGAAAAATCGAATTCAATTTGTCAAGTCTGGGTTTGCATTTGTTTATTTCAAACGTGAATGTGAATATTAACCATCAGAAAAATACCGAACAAAATTTTTTATTGAATTCCTAGAAGCCATCATCAGTGAAATATTTTTTTGATGGTGCAACACCGAAGCAAATTTTACCCATACACATTTTCTCGAAATTCACGCGTGGTGCAACTACAAAACAAGACTCTTCAAAAAAAATGTCTGCTGTAATTCTTGTAGAAAGACATTCATTCAAATGAACTCAGCATCTTGAGTTCCATACGTGATAACTATTTTTATAGTTAAAAAAATCGGAATAATACATTAAATTCAATTAATCACTAGTCTGGAAAAATTGTTACATGCTGAGCACGTATTGCCATGCCAGTAAGCGCTGAGCAATGACAAGAACAACAAAATTGAAATATTTATACCTTTCAATAAGTCAAATTTGAGCTACTTTAAAAATATTTGTGAAGGATTTGTCCTAATTATAATAGCTCCATTAAATTTAGATTTAATCCCATTAAATATAAAGAGAAATATAACATAGCTATGGGACAGGAATCTAATCAACCAAATTTAATGTATTGTGTTGATAAATATATTTAAAAAAATGAAAGATATTTATATATTAACTTTATTACTTGTTCAGCACCACCTTTAACAAATATTTTCGATATTTATTATTATTATATTTATTATTGAACTATCTAAACTATAATTATGCACCTTTATTAATTGTCATTAATATATAATAATAATAATATTGGCATATTATTAACCGTTAACAGTCTTGCGAACCTTGAACAATTCATCAGTAAATAATATTTTCCCCACGGCGCCCGAGTCAGAAGATTGCATGCGTCGCATAACCGACAAAATTTCAACGAAAGACTGAAAAATTTTCTGAACAAACACTATTGATTTAAAACAATGAAATTTATTATATATTTTTATATGAAGAGATTACTGTCATTATGTTTGAACTAGGATCGCAGATTGTTAAGGCATCCATACAAATCATTACTTTACTTGCAACCTTCCCTGTTAATTGTTTTCCTATGCTTAAAAATAATTCATTTGCTGACATTGATCCATTATCATTCTTGCTCTTATTATAAATTGATGTTAGTTGCAGTTCATAATTTTAATTTATACTATTGACATTAATTTCAGTTCAAAATTTTAATTTATACATCTTATGTCTATCTTGGGACGATATGTTTCCCAGCACGGGAACTTAATGTCACCTCAACCTCTTCTATGAATCTAATAACCCCTAACACATAAATAACTACGTCACCAGCAAATCACCTAAACGCAATCACCTACTGCGAGGGTGATTAAGTCACGCACGGATGCCAAACCTCACGCAAATGAAGACCAACGTAAATTTGTTCAGTGTAATTACTTCCTTCAGACAAATAAATTCCTTGCATGGTTCGCTTCTCAAATTTGTGTTATTACCATAGATCAAACATACCTTATAACCAATCAGTTCACAAATGATGTAATTACTTTCACTTCAGGCCTTTTATCACTTTTTTGTTCATGTTTGATGCCTCAATTGAGTCATAGGGAAGGAATTTGGTCGCTTTAAATTAGTTTGCAAAGTCAACAGAAGGATATGCATTTGATGGGACAGTTAATTCAGCTCAATATTGAAATTTTTATTAAAAAGCCGTCGAATGAAGTTTGACGTTAATCATAATCGTTTAAGTAGCCAGACAAAACTCAGAAATAAACTGAAAAACTCATATTATTGAATAAAATCCTGATGTTTTTTACGATGTGTAGAAGAATCATTCAAGTTTGTTAAATAGCCTAATGCTTCTCGGCAAAAAAAAAATAATAATGGAAATGTAATGAAAAACTCATATTATTGAATAAAATCCTGATGTTTTTTACGATGTGTAGAAGAATCATTCAAGTTTGTTATATAGTCTAATACTCTTCGGCTAGAAAATCCTAATAAAAACACAAAAACTATCAGCGCCACTCAGTTTTATTTTATGCTGAAGCAACGGCAGTGAAGTCCGAACATTCTTAAGTTTAATTTGTGCGCAAACTAAGAAATGACCTGAAAAACACATATTATTGAATAAAACCCAGATGTTTTGTACGAACTGTAGAAGAATCGTCAAATTTGTTAAATAGCCTTATACTCTTCGGCAAAGAAAATATTAATAAAAATACAAAAACTATCAGCGTCACGCATTTTTATTGTATGCTGAACTAACGGCAGTGAAGTCCGAACATTCTTAAGTTTAATTGTGCGCAAACTAAGAAATGGCCTGAAAAACATATATTATTGAACAAAACCCAAATGTTTTTTACAAAGTGTAGAAGAATCGTCAAGTCTGTTAAGTAACCTAATACTCTTCGGCCAAAAAAATAATAATAATATAAAAAGTATCAGCGCCACACAGTTTTATTGTATGCTGAACTAACGGCAGTGAAGTCCAAACATTCTTAAGTTTAATTGTGCGCAAACTAAGAAATGACGTGAAAAACACATATTATTGAATAAAACCCAGATGTTTTGTACGAAATGTAGAAGAATCGTCAAGTCTGTTAAGTAACCTAATACTCTTCGGCCAAAAAATACGAATAAAAATATAAAAACTTTCAGCGTCACTCAGTTTTATTGTATGCTGAACTAACGGCAGTGAAGTCCAAACATTGTTAAGTCTAATTACGTGCAACATGAAAGTATGCAAGTGTCGCAAGCCTTGCTGCCCTGCAAGTGTTATCTGCTGGCGAGCTGCGGGGGAAGCGACGAGATCTTCTGATAACGATCCATACCAGTAAACAGAACTAACAAACTCAGCAACAGAAACAGTAATCTATATAAATACTTGTATATTATTGCAACGTCTGAATGTAGTAGAACTACATTTTCTTTATTTCATTCTAACATTTACTAATCCAAATAATCGACGGTGACGCGTGTGGGCCATGAAAATGTCAACTAATGCCGGAATAAAATGAAATTATAGCTTGCGACATGATGTAACTTAATAACAGGTTGTGACATAACAACGAAAATGTTTACAATAACAATGAACCACCGAAAAATATGTGAAAGTGAAACGTTTGTGCAAGTCACATTGTTTAGTTTTTTCACAGCTCATGTTCAATTCAAAGTGGGAAAGTGACGTTCATAAATTGTAACCGTTTAGTAACTTATGAATACTTCAGCATCGATTAGTTATTTCGGGATTATTTAGCAGGGAAAAAAGAGTGAATTTACAAAATTCTTTTTTCATTCAAGTCTAGAATGCCGGCAGTGAACGCTTGAATGCCGTCATAGAAGCGACCAAATTATATGGTACGGAGAACGTGGCCTTGAACGCTGCCTCCCTTCTTCTCGTCTTATATACTGTTTTACCTTTGCTGAACAACGATATTCGTCATAAATCAAAATATTGATTAAATCGTCCACGAGTTGCAATGTGAAAAGCAAACCCAGTCATAGTTTGCGACCTTCAAACGAGCGATCCAACGGACGCCAACCGGCGACTATATAAGGCGACGTGACGCAGCGGCATCTAGTGTGCAGTGTGAAGTCGGTTGGTTCGTTAGCTCTGCAAATCTCCTGTTCGATCTCCAATCTACTTTACTATCGATTATGGCGCCCATTCTTGGATATTGGGGTATTAGAGGCGTGAGTATTAATATCGAGCTCATAGCTGATATATGAATGAAGTTGGGATTTTTAGTAAGGAAATTTCGCTTGCTAATAGAGATTGTGAAACTAGACTATTGATGCCGTGGCGTGAGTCGCTTCAGCTGCAGACCTAATGAACCTTGAACAGAAGTGCCGCCTGTGAACATAGGCAGTCCTGCGATGGCAGATGTTCCGATAATTCTTCTTGTGCAAAACGCAAATTGTAATCATATGCATTCTTGTACAATGGCCCACGTTGGTTCACGAGTATACACATTTTTCTTCCATCTCGTGGAATTGTATCGGATATCGCGACTGTTATCGATAATTAGTAAGCCTTGAATTGTGCAGTAGTTCTCCCACATGCATTGCGTCTTGACTTTAGAAACGTTAGGATTATATAAAGTTCGCAATGCACAAGTCCAAGTCTCAACTTGGTAGATGCCACACATCCGCACCTTCCTCCATAAAAATCGAATTGTACTATTCGAATGCTCTATAACCACTTGATGATTTAGATGCTGTTTAGATTTCGGTGGAAGTTAGTAGTGTTTGATCATAAAATATACTGTCTCTGACGATACTTGATTTATATCAAGTACTTTGACTTTCTTAGTATAAATAATTTGCATTGACTTTGAAGACAATGATTTAATTAAAGTCTCTAGCTACAACGACCTCGGTGCGCGTGATGCTCTGTAGATATAATAGATAACGCGAGGGGTTGATAAAGTCTTGTATAAGGTATACTTATACAAGAAGCCTCTGCTTGTCCTGTCTATGAAAGTTATGATAGCCTATATGCGAACTCCTTGCTTATGTTGAGGCCTATCGTTTGGAGCTTGTTCAATGACTACTTTCCTACTCTCCTTACTTCCGGACGTAATTTTTCGGGACTGTCGTGATCAATTTCTTGGCAGCCGCATTTTTTTATAGGTCCTTTGTTATTTTCAATAAATTCACTAAGCTTCCATTGCTACTAGCCTACTACAATATATTGTAGGTTAGGAGTTATAAAACAGGCAATACGAGAATGACGCATTCGCCTAGGTTCATTTTTGTAATCTAGTTCTCGTAATGCATGTAATGGGAAGATTTCAAAACCCTAATGATCGTTGAGCCCCGAAGTCTCAGTTAGACATGGCTGAAGGAATCATTGGTGATGCCATGCGAAGCATTGTTGTGCTATGCTACAACTCAGATTTTGTAAGTTATTTTTGCAAACCCTCTTTCTTGACTCTAATGGGGTTTTTGTAATGGATGTGCTGACGACTTGAACTTGATATTAATTCCGTTGCCATCGTCTATGCATGCCGGCAAGTCAGTCAAGCGAAATGCGACTGGACTGAACTTTCGACGTGATCGATGCTTTCGTAAAGCATGATCTTTGCGTAGCATGTTGGGGCTTGATGCGACCGCTGTTGATACCTTGGGTTCTTCAGAGGTTTTACAATTTTAAATGTTAGCTATTCCAAATATTTAATCACGCAAATTGAACATCTCATGATATTATATTGTCTTGAAAACCGAGAATGTTTGCATTAGGGTTCGGAAGAATATTTTTGCCCCTTTTTGAATTTTTGTGCCGAAAAGGAGAATTTTACTAATACTTCTACCCGAGAGCGTGAGTGAATTTCACGCCGGTTTTACAAACTTCCTCGTTTGCGATTACAGGAGACCAAGAAGGGCGATTTCATTGCCAACATCGACAACACTCTGAAGAAACTTTCAAAGCTTGTGGGCAGCAACAACTACATTCTTGGCGATAAGGTTAGTTCTTAAATTTTTCTAAGAAGCTTGAACTTATAAATTCCAGATCACAATATTTTCAACTCGGTCCTAAGTAATGGGAGGATATTTGTAGAAGTAACGTCCGCGATTGAACCATTCATTTTGCTCATATTTTGGATTTCTTCAATTGAATTCAGTTGAATGAATAAAGGTAATATACTTAGAAATTCTATATAATGATGATCTGTATCTTGTGCGATGGTTATAATATTTATTACGGATAATGATGAATATTGAAATATCTGTAGCAATTCAAAATATTCTCAATATGAGTATTGCATTAATTTAATGAAGTTCAGTCATTAGGTCAGAAATAAAACGTGTAGTTCAGATCTCCCGACCTAACTGCTCAGGAGCATTAGTTCACCAACCGCGACTAACAGAGCTGTTGAATTATTCATTAGGGCAGCCAGGGTACGCACACAGTGAAAGCAGGTTGCCAGCGTGCTGGTTACCTGCTCAGGCTGGCACCTGGAACCATAGAATACAGAAGCCTATTCGTACAGGTTTTCACTGTGAACACTTACATTATTATCCTTTGCTCATTCTTGTGGCAGGTTGGAGCAGGTTGCCCGCGCGGGCAAATCTGCTTTCACTGTGTGCGTACCCTGATAGTCTTATTTTCTAATACCTAATTTCAGAGGCAAATAACACCTTGCTGATCCCAATATATATTGACTGTCAGGTTATGATCGTCGACTTCGTGCTTTTCGAGACGTTGGAGCGCTACGTCGCTCTGGTGCCCACTTGTCTCGATAGCTACGCCAACCTCCAGGCTTTCCACAAGCGCATCGAGGACATTCCCAGCATCAAGAAATACCGAAGCTCTCCTGAATTCACTAAAATTAAAGATAAATTCAATGGACCCATGGCAAAGTTCGGCAGTGGAGTCTAATTCCAACTAACTTCAACCACCCACACACTCGACCAACAACTTCAACCATTCAAGCACCCACTCAACCAACATTTTTTGTTGCTGGAATAACAATAAATTGGAATAAAAGTTATCTTGTAGCAGATGAAAAAAATTTTCTTTTCCCATTTGACAAGAGATCGGAGTTATTGTACTAATTACATAGACCGACTGACTAGATGCTAATTTATTGGCTGTAACGGGGGAAATTTTTGAACTATACTTTGAGGAGTATGACTTTGAACACGATTTAGTTCTGACGCTTTCGCGCTTAGGCATAAAATGCCTCCTGCATCGAATGCACGGTTACTCGAAATAGTATCGAGTAACAGTTCGAGTTTCATACGTTGATGAATTCAGCGTACAGAATCGAGGCATGCGTGTCGAATATCACATGAGCCAATGCAAATACGGAGGAATAGTTGGTTGGTTCGAGCGATAACACTTCAGTTATCGCTTAGACTAAAGATACCGGGCCCTCGGGGAAAGTTTTTACTAGAATACCGAATGTATTCAAAAGAGAAACCTTATCTCTTGAATGAAACTAATTCTTGCACGGCATTTGTATTATGGAGCCTATTTATTAAGAGAATTGCATAACGTAGATTGCTGGTCGCTTGCCACTTAGGCGGTTACACGACATTTTCATTTTTGAGTCTTCATTAAATGACATTAGATAATTGCATAACGTAGATTGCTGGCAGCTTACCACTTATGCGTTTGTCGGTATTCCAATGGGCGTCTTATCGCGTTCCTGATATCGTGATATCCCGAGTCCGCGAGTCACTGCACTTCAATTGCACAAAGAGGTACAGAACTTATCATAATAGGTTTTTACCAGTGCAAAGTGGATATTTCTGCCTAGTGTATACTCAGTTCTGCTCGAGTAATTTTGAAATTTTCATCATAAATGATTTATATTATGGGCTAACCGCTCCAAGGGAGGCTGATAAGATAAAACAAAAGTAACTGTAAATTAATGCGTTATCAATCGATAGTACTTCAGAACGACGGGAATAATGAATTTATCGTTCTTTTTCTAGCTTGTATTGCAACACAATTTCTATTGACGGTCTGAGTGAAATATTATTAATTTTCATTTATATAAAAAAATGTGCATACATATCATTTATTTGACTTCACATTCACTATAAAACGTCCCTGAATTTTAACTCGCGCTGTTCACGATCGCAATATCGGCCACCATAAATTAGCCCCATTTATGGTCAAAAGCAAATGTTCACTAAGAAAATTTTTTGGATATTATGTCCACTTTGTGACACACTTTCTCATCGGTAGTACGAGCATAGAGCGAACTGATATTAGGTCAAAATTACCTACACTACCGTAAAATGTATTCGATATTCGGACAAAATCTCACTCATTCTTCTGTGTGTTGGGAGGCCAGCCGACCTAGAATTGTGAATGATTGTGATGCTGTAGCTCGTCTATATATATAGGAATGACCTTGAAAGTCATGCCACGTATCATCTTAATTTTCAATTAATTCGAACATTATCAATGTTCACAGAATATACAATTTTGAATATCATTCCCACGTGTACAAAAATGAAACATACAACATCCTAAATGCAGGAAATGTACAAATATTTCAGTTACCCATGTAAAATGACTTATATTAAATGTCGGTTAATCAAACAAACATACTCGACCTGCTACGTTTCCTCAGTACCCTGATAAACACTGTACCAGCTACACTTACTCTGTGTTCTTCAGTGTTATACTGATATTGACAGTGTCAATCTCTGTACCAGCTACACTTAAATTGTGTTATTCAGTGTGATACTGATATTGACAGGGTCAAACTCTGTACCAGCTACACTTACACTGTGTTCTTCAGTGTCATACTGATATTGTCAGGGTCAAGCTCTGTACCAGCTACACTTACACTGTGTTCTTCAGTGTCATACTGATATTGTCAGGGTCAATCTCTAGCTGTATACCAGCTACACTTACACTGTGTTTTTCAGTTTTATACTGATATTGTCAGGGTTAAACTCTGTACCTGCTGCACTTACACCGTGATCGTCAGTGTTATCCTGATATTGACAGGGTCAAGACAGCAACGTACATTATTTTCGCGGCATTGAAGTGACACACGGCGGTAAATTCTGAAGAATGGTGCCTGTTTTTGGATATTGGTCCGTTCGAGGGGTGAGTTCGATACGTAATTTAAATGCCAGTTAAATTAATTTAATTTAAATGTCACTAGGCTACGTAATGTAAACGCCATTCAAGTCGCCACAGCACTCATGTCGCCGGCCTTCAATAGAAACGATATATTTTACAAACAAAACTAAACCCCAACATTCTAGCGTGATCGAAACAGATATATATCATCATCTGTTGATTAAAGGCAAAAAATTTCACTTATGACCAGTTTTATACTTTTGTTATAGAAGAGCTGCGAATTTAATGCAGTATCTTTTAAGTGACAACTCATGTATTATTGACGGTAGTTTTAAATGTCGCTGTTTTAAAGTCTTTGCTATCGTTTGGGCTCAAGTGTGGATTCTTGGTCCAGAGAACGGCTTGCTCTATGAGTGATATTAAGCATATTGAAACATTTTTAAGTCACGAAGTGTTACTGTGCGCCAACACAGCGCACCTTGATTTATAGATTATATTACTACGCCACTTCTGTAGCAGGTATAGAATCGAGAAGTTTCCATTAGTGATTGATAACATCCACGTCTTATGCTTAACTAAATTTTTTATTATATTCGCTGTCTGTAGTATAAAATAATAGTAATAATAAAATAACATTTAAAAAAGTAATAAAAATGCTCACTTGTTCGTATTATATTCACTGTATTATAAAATAATAGTAGTAATAATATAATAATAATAAAAATTATATAATTTTTCACTTGTTCCAATAGCAAACTTTAAACATTGTTCACTATCGAAAATAGTTAAGAGTTCGTAACTCTGTAAGCAACCACTGACTGCTTTTCAAGCGAAACCCACTAATCACAGACGAGAAATAGATCGCTACGTGTATATAGGCCGCTACGCGTACTTAGGCCGTTACGTTTACTCAGGCCGCATCGTTTACCTAGCCCGCCACGTGTACTTAGGCCGCTACGTGTACTTAGGCCGCTACGTGTACCAAGGCCACCACGTGTACCCAGGCCGCTACGTGTACTTAGGCCGCTACGTGTACTTAGGCCGCTACATTCAATCAACGTTATTTCAACGTCTTATGTCTAGATACTTCTTTTTGTTTGCCGACCACCTTAATAATGTGTAAAAATCCTTATATTCCTTGACCTCCGTTTGATGTCTGCACTCCGACAAATTCATTATACTTTGTCTAAATGTCTTTGCATTTATCTCTGTAAATATCTTTGTCTTTGTCTTTTTGTCTTTGCACGTTTGCCCTTATTTATATCACCTTAACCCAGTTTGGCACGGAAAAAAACGTAATATTACTGCAAGAAGAGTATCACAATTTGGACACTATAACCAATCCATTTTTAGCGCATTTTCTCATTTATGGAAAAAATGCACTATTGTGCTCGCCATGTCCGTCTTTCCGTCCGTCTGTCCGTCCGTCCGTGACCTCAAGTTTTCTTCGACGAGATAATGCGCTCTCTGTCACTCACTGCAGTGAGTACTGAGTTATATTTTTTTGCATGTTCACACAGTTGGGCCAGGAAAAATAGACGTATCACTGCATCAAGTGTGTCACTATTTGGACAATATAACCAATACATTTTTTTTTTTTTTGCATGTTCACACAGTTGGGCCAGGTCCCTCGCTACCTTCTGGCCCACGCTGGGGCCGAGTACACGGAGAAGCTCTACCACATCGGGCCAGCGCCCGGCTACTCCAAGAGCGAGTGGTGGGACGTCAAGCAAGACTCGGGTCTCGAGTTCCCGAATGTGAGGAATCATTTTCAGAAATCACTTCCAGGAATCATTTGCAATACTGAGAGGCTAATTTTATAAGAAAGCGAGGAAAATTATAATATCTGCCATTTTGAAAGGCTAATTTTAATAAGAAACAGAAAAAAATATCTGGCATATTGACAGGGTAATTTTATAACAAAACCTACGGGATTCAAATGCTCCAAGTGTGAGGCTTATACCGGATTATCATTTCCGGATTATCATGTTATACTGATACTTATATCCGGTATATGATTATCATATACCGGATTATCATGTTTCATGGAAATTGCTTCGGCCGGTGGCCTCATTTCTGTTTTTTTTTTTTGTCTCTGCGATGAATTTTTCCATACAAATTGTTTTCAGCAGTCATATTCATGTTATATGTTCTCATTACTTGATCATTGACGAAAAAATTGAATTCATGTGTTAGAATCTAACAATAATTAAAAATTATCGGCGAAAATTGCCGTATTACATTGACTGCGACATTATCATCACGGAAATTTCTACCATCACCTTGCGTCTTGAGACATTTTATTTCCAACAATATAGAAATAGTAAATATTTTCATACCTTAATCACTTACATAAATATTAATTTTACATTTGAAAACCTAAAAATTACATACTTTCACTCCTAAAGTTGCCGTACTACATCGACAGCGACATTATCATCACGGAAAGTTCTGCCTTCACCATGCATCTCGACACTATTTTCTAACAATATAGACATAGTTAATATTTTCATACCTTAATCACTTAAATAAAAATTAATTTTACATTTGAAAACCTAAAAATTACATACTTTTACTCACTTGCATATAAATTAATTTTATGTTTGAAAACACAACAATTACATACTTTTACTTACCCGCATAAAAACTAATTTTACGTAGGTATTAAAATCACTTGGCTGCTTAAGTCGCAAATTCACCAGGAATTTAAAAGTAAAGAAAATAGCCAAAAAGTTCACCATTTCTTATAAGCGAAAACGTTTCGGAGTCCAGCTCCATCGTCAGTTCAAAACCTAGAACACAGGTACAAACAATTAGTAGCCTAAAATTCATATTCAAACAATTCACCTAAACTTGAGGACATTAGAACTAAAATCGAAGATAACAGAAATAAAAATGAGATAACATGTAGAGAGGGTACTATCTATTTACAATTTGTAGAGGATAGGAACTGAATGCAGCATTTAAGCTGGGTTTCTGTTTGAAAATATATAAAGATTCTAAAATTCGTAGGTCAGAAACACCGCTAAAACTCTAAAATCATTATTGGACACCGGGACGTTGCACTGCTCGGCATGAATACGTACGGCTGAATGAGGAGGATGCGTAACTAATTTTACATTTGAAAACCTAAAAATTACACACTTTTACTCCTAAAGTTGCCGTACTACATCGATGGCGACATTAAAATCACGGAAAGTTCCGCCTTCACCATGCTTCTCTAGACTTTTATTTCCAACAACATAATCATAATAATTTTTTTTTCAAACCCTAATCACTTATATAAAAATTAAATTTATATTTTTTAAAACCTAAAAATTACTCACTTTTTACTCTAAAAGTTGCCGTACTACATCGATGGTGACATTACCATCACGGAAAGTTCTGCCGTCACGAAGCACCTAGAGACTATTTTCTAACAATATAAACATGGTGAATGTTTTCATATCTCAATCACTTACATAAAAATTAATTTTACATTTAAAAACCTATAATTTACACATTTTTACTCTAAAAGTTGCCGTACTACATCGACGGCGACATTAAAATCACGGAAAATTCAGCCATTACGAAGCATATCGACATTATTTTCTAACAATATAGACATTGTAAATGTTTTCATATCATAATCACGTACAGAAAAATTAATTTTATATTTAAAAATCAAAAATTTACACATTTTTACTCCTAAAGTTGCCGTACTACATCGATGGCGACATAAAGATCACGGAAAGTTCAGCCATAACGAAGCACCTAGATACTTTTATTTCCAACAACATAATCAAATTAATTTTTTTTTCAAACCTTAATCACTTACATAAAAATTAACTTTATGTTTAAAAACACAAAAGTTACTCATTTTTGCTCTAAAAGTTGCCGTACTACATCGACGGCGACATTAAAATCACGGAAAGTTCAGCCATAACGAAGCACCTCGCCCGCAAGTTCGGTCTGGTTGGGACGACAGAGGAGGAGAACATCATAGTCGACATGGCAGAAGGAATCTTGTCCGATATTTCGCGCGCCTTCAAACAACTTTGTTTCGACTCCGATTTCGTAAGTAATTCCATCATCATGTGAACGACTTTAAATTACTTTCATCTAATTATTTTAACATTAACCAACTCTCACAATTGTTTGCTGAAGTTTATTGCAGATAAAATATTTATAGATTGGTTTATTTATTTAATGCAAGTAAAAAAAATAAGCGTAAATGAATAAAATCAAACATTTTCTTTAGTTTGAAGGTCTCTTAGATATACGTTTTAGTTATATGCTTAGATAAGGGATATTCAGCTAAAAATATTCTAGGAATTAAAAATCATCTGATTTGAATCACTGGAGGTGGATCTAAAATATTAACATTACTTTCGGAAAAAAAATTTCTGTATCAACTGTTAAGCATAGAAGAGAAACGAATGAGGCAGATAGGCAAGCGGATTTCTTGAACGATACTTTTTTCTCCATTGTTTGGCCGACCTGTTGTAGAAGTTACTCATAGTCATTTCATTTTACGCTCAAAAACATTCGCACAAATCAGCTGCGTAGACCAGAACTCCGCATTTGGTCATATACTTGAAGAAAGAGCATATTTGAAAATTATTTACAAACATGTCATGTAAGTTATCATCCGAATAATATTTAATATATTTTAAAATTTTTTAATTTAATATCAAATTTTCATGTTTAATATCATGCGAAAAATATTTAACTTTAATAATTTAATTTAAATATTTAATATTTTAATAATATATAAAATTTAATTTTCAATGAGAAAATTTTTGTATATATAAGAACCACTTTCATATAGCCCTGTTCATATAGCCCTCTTTAGAATTATCTTAAATTGACATATTCATCAACAAAATTTACTTTCACGCGTGTTTATATTGTGCGAGATAAATTTCTCGTGGCTCGGACACGTTCATTTTTTGTATAATGTTCATTTTTGTTCATTTCTACTGTTCATATAGCCCTGTTTTGAATTATCTCAAATTGACATATTCATCAATAAAATTTACTTTGGCTCCTATTTATATTGTGTGAGATAAATTTCTCGTGGCTCGGACACGTTCATTTTTTGTATAATGTTCATTTTTGTTCATTTCTTTCTATGATGAAAGTTCTCCGAAAAGTAATATACGGCGGCCATAGGATTAATCTTTACGGGCTATAAAAATTATCCGCCTCCATGCCATGAATTCTGAATTTGAATTTTGAACATCTTCATAATTTTCATCTGAATGGTTATCCTAAAAAATAACCCTGTTTACGTGAATTAACTATTTCCAGTTCAAGTAATCTTCTAAAATTGTTTTAAAGTTGAAAATTCTTCCTAAATATAATTTGTACGGAATGTTAACCAAAATCTGACTGTAATCTATTCTTCATAATAGAAAGGTATTTTACTAAAAAATAAATCATCCCTAAATCATCCCTAATAAATCATCCAGGCATCGAAAGGTATTTTACCGATTTGATAAATGCCGCAAAATAATCGTTTTTTGAAATCATAGTAGACCAATACATAATTAATCAAGTAACTGAATGAAATGAACATCAGCTAGCATCAATGATTCTTTTTTTTAAGAAAAATTATAGAGCTTTATAAACAAGATTATAGAGCTGTAGAAACAAGATTATAGAGCTGTAGAAACAAGATTATAGAGCTGTAGAAACAAGATTATAGAGCTGTAGAAACAAGATTATAGAGCTGTAGAAACAAGATTATAGAGCTGTAGAAACAAGATTATAGAGCTGTAGCTATGTCCTATCCGGTGTATTTTTTAAACTTACAAATTTTATATGCAAATATGGGTCAATGATTATATTTGTGTGAATAAATATATTTGTGTGCTCCTGTGTGAATAAAGACCAAAGGATAAAGAATTTAAAATACATATTATATGTTTAGTTTAGTTATATTTAAATACACCTACAGTTCAAAATATAGTTCAGTATATGGCCAGCAAATACAATACGTCATTCTTTAAAATACATTAAATTTAAAATACTATTATAATGTAACAAAGAGTTAATAGTGAATAGTGTAGTGAATCTATATTGAGACACAATTGTAAAGCACAATGAACTCTCAATATATATATCACTTGGATGTATTTGGAGCCAATTTTACCACACTCTTACCTTAATTATATTTTTTATACTCATTATTATTTTGAAACCAATAATGAATTAATAATATCGGATTGAATAAAAATAAATATATATCTAACTGATATAATTGATCCGTTTTTTCAGGAAAGAAAAAAAGTAGCTTATATCATATCACTTGGATGTTATTGTGTCAACTTTACCATATTCCTTACCTTGATTATATTTTTTATGCCCATTGTTATTTCGAAATAATTAATAAAATAATAGTATCAGAATAAATTAAAATAAATACATGTGAAACTGATATAACCGATACCTTTTTTTTCAGGAAAGAAAGAAAGTTGCTTATATCGATGAGATTGACATTCCACTGACGAAGTTGTCTAAGCTCGTTGGAAGCAGCAGCTACATTGTCGACGAGAAGGTAAAAATAAAGTTTATCGAAATCAAGATTACAATTTACCTAAAGTATAATGTTTCATATACACCAAAGGCGAATATGAAAACTTTTTAATGTTCAAATGTCTACCATATTCTTACAAAGGCTTGGTTTTTAAAAATATCGGTCATTTTCTAAACCATAACGCTTTTTTTCGTATCACCAGGATTAACGGGGAAATTTGGAGCAATTCAATGTGAAATTAAATTTTTATATAAGATTTGAAATAAGAAGAAATTTATTGAGAAAAATTCAGGAATCTTATATATCACAATATTAAGTGCAATGTCACGTTTGCAAGGTGGGGTGCGTAGGAGGGTAGGTTGTGGGATAAGTAATATGATTAAACGACTAATTAAAAATGAACAACCAATACATAAAAAATTGGTTACTTGAATATTATTAATTTGCAGATAACATGGGTGGGCTTTGAGTGGAGTTTGTGGGATGTGCCATAAAAGTAAACGAATACTTGAAAATAGACAAGCAATTGATAAAAAATTGTAAACTTAAATCATTATTAATTTGCAGATAACATGGGTGGACTTTGAGTTGTTTGAGCTCCTGGAACGCATCCTGGCGCTGGCGCCGGACTGCCTGGAAATGTACGCTAATTTGCAGGCTTTCCACAAGCGCGTGCGGGAGCTGCCTAACATCAAGGCCTACAGGGCCTCGGAAGACTTCATTAAAATAAAGAAACTTTTTAATGGTCCGGTGGCGAAATTTGGCGGGGGGAATTGAACGCTAAGAAATGGCATGAAAGAATTTTTTGTGGCAACTGGGATGAAATTTTTCTTCGTGGCGGACTGGAACGAAGTTTTTTGTTCACGACAGACGGGAACGAATTTTTTTTTCGTGATAGACGGGAACAAATTTTTTCATCATGACAGATGGGAAAAATTTATAGCGACAGACGGGAAGGAATGTTTTCCTAGTGACAGACTAAAACAAATTATTTTCTCCGCAAAAGACTGGAACGAAGTTTTTTCTCCGAAAAAAGACTGGAACGAAGTTTTTTCTCCGAAAAAAGACTGGAACGAAATTTTTTCTCCACAAAAGACCGGAACGAAATTTTTTCTTCGCGAAAGACGGGAACGAAATTTTTTCTCCACAAAAGACCGGAACGAAATTTTTTCTCCACAAAAGACCGGAACGAAATTTTTTCTTCGCGAAAGACGGGAACGAAATTTTTTCTCCACAAAAGACTGGAACGAAATTTTTTCTCCACAAAAGACCGGAACGAAATTTTTTCTTCGCGAAAGACGGGAACGAAATTTTTTCTCCACANTCACTAAACTGTCTCTTATACACATCTAGATGTGTATAAGAGACAGGCCTTATAGTGCACCGTTTTTACTACCGTTAGGCGGTTAGGGTGCGGCTAATCTGTTGTTACTTGCTAACACGTGAATGTCTAATTAAATTAAACTGTAAAACGGGGTTGGATCATTAACCGTTTTTAGCGCTTAACTTTTTTTTATACAAATAGTCTCGTAGTAAATTTATCACTCTACTGTATTTAAAGCTTATCTCATGGTACTTCAAGACCCATCAACACGATATTTTCAAGGCAAGAACTTTTTTGAATATAGGGTTTTCTTTTATTAAATTTCTAAACGGTCCAAGTCATCCCGCTTTACGGAATCTTAATCATCGACTGATGATTGCGGCACAAATGCAGTGAGAAAAATTACCTGCCTTTGCATAGCTACTATCATATTCAACAAATTTTTAAGTGTTACTCTTAATAATGGAATAAATAATTGCTGGCATTGCGTATAGGGACTTGGCTATACATTGAATTTGATTTTCATGCTCAGCTCGAGGTATCAAACCGATGATCTCTATTGATCTTGTAAACGCAATCAAAATTTATTCACATTTAATATCTAAATGTTGCCGTCAACCAACAGTTTCTTCGTACCCGTGTAGCAGCACGTCTGTGTAGCAGCACGTCTGTGTAGCAGCACGTCTGTGTTGCAGCACGTCTGTGTTGCAGCACGTCTGTGTTGCAGCACGTCTGTGTAGCAGCACGTCTGTGTAGCAGCACGTCTGTGTTGCAGCACGTCTGTGTTGCAGCACGTCTGTGTTGCAGCACGTCAGAACTATGTTAATGTTTGTCCCAGAAGGAACTATGTTAATGTTTGTCTTAGAAGAAACTATGTTAATGTTTGCCTCAGAAGGAACTATGTTAATGTTTGTCCCAGAATGAACTATGTTAATGTTTGTCCCAGAAGGAACTATGTTAATGTTCGCCTCAGAAGGAACTATGTTAATGTTTGTCCCAGAAGGAACTATGTTGATGTTTGTTCCAGAAGAAAAAGTATTACAGTTCGTCCCTGAAGGAGAAATGAATTATTGAAATTGCGGCACTTATGCATTGTCCTACAATAAATTCTTATGTACGTCCCCGAAAGAAAATGGTTCTGTTCCAGAAGGAGAAATGGAAATGTTTAAAATTACCAAAATCCCAGGGCGACCTTATTTTAGTCAAGATTTTGGCCATAATCTAATTAAGTTGAGCAGTGTTCAACACCGCTGCTGAAACAAATACTAGTAATAGTTTGTAGAAAAAAAAGATACGTTTTATTTGCGTTGAATTTAAGGTAAACTTACATTACACGATCATTTCTTAGTTCCATTTTCGAACAACATTCTACCAATATTCCAGATGCAACAATCCCCGATGGTAATTACAGTTGATATAAATTTTAAAATGAAACTTCAGCTAAAATTTGTTTGTTCCCATACTTGAAACAATGTTCACCCGTGGACGCAATTGAATCAATTCTGTTAGCACTTTAAAATCTAAGAACTTAAAAAGTTCAAATGTGAGATTGTGTTGTCAGATACTGCAAAAATCCAGCAACTGTCAGTAATAAATTGTTCAAAAACTCATCTCGTGTGTCTTTATGAACAATTTGACTTGTTTAGTTTCACATCGGAATTTTCTTTTCAGTTCCTCTGAGGAGTAACTGAAATAATCTAGAACGGTCGTGCATGTATTTAGCGTGAAGTTAATGGTAGGTAAACAGCCTTCAATCACAATTATAAATTGATATTCTGATGTTTTATACGAAGAATTAGCGTAATTTAAAACGTACGTGAGTAATTCTATAGTAAAAATATATAAAGTTTATAAGTCTTAACGCCAAGTCTTGGCATGCAGAGTCAAAATTTTCTTAAGAAACTGTTTTTCAGACTTACACATCGACCACCTCATGTTGTCATGCTAGTCGCTCAGTCAGCTGAGCGAATTCGGTGGTAGATCGCATACGTAGCTCTTAATATTATGCATCTAAGCTATGTTCTAACTACTTGAATATAAGAAATGGAATCTAATAACACAAGTGAAAATATGGTTCCTGTTCTAGGATATTGGGCAATCAGAGGCGTAAGTATTCATTATTAAATGATGTTTATTTACTACAGTATTACCTGAATGCGTGATCACTTCATCTATTTATCCTCAACGGTTAACTAAACATTCATGCCCTATAATTTGACCTTGACAAAAACTACCAGTACTGAATGGATCATTCTTGCGTTCAAATACTGTGGATATCGAAAATGTGCACGAATACATACTATGAACGAAGGAGTAGTTTAGGTCGAATCTAATTAAGTATGCTCATAGTTACATTGAACGCTGTACGCTGGCAGCAGAGTTCATCTTTAATATTGCCATAATGTACGACACTTAGATCATTTTTTCCTAATCGAACGTCAGGCAGCCTTATAGTGCACCGTTTTTACTACCGTTAGGCGGTTAGGGTGCGGCTAATCTGTTGTTACTTGCTAACACGTGAATGTCTAATTAAATTAAACTGTAAAACGGGGTTGGATCATTAACCGTTTTTAGCGCTTAACTTTTTTTTATACAAATAGTCTCGTAGTAAATTTATCACTCTACTGTATTTAAAGCTTATCTCATGGTACTTCAAGACCCATCAACACGATATTTTCAAGGCAAGAACTTTTTTGAATATAGGGTTTTCTTTTATTAAATTTCTAAACGGTCCAAGTCATCCCGCTTTACGGAATCTTAATCATCGACTGATGATTGCGGCACAAATGCAATGAGAAAAATTACCTGCCTTTGCATAGCTAATATCATATTCGACAAATTTTTAAGTGTTATTTTTAATAATGAAATGAAGAACTGCTGGCATTGCGTATAGGGACTTTTGGCTAAACATAGAAAATGATTTTCATGCTCAGCTCGAGGTATCAAACCGATAATCTCTATTGATCTTGTAAACGCAATTAAAATTGATTGACATTTAATATCTGAATGTTGCTGTTCTAAAAAGTACAAAATATGCTTCCCTTTATGAACGTATGAAATTCATGGCACAATGAAATGCCGTTCATCGTTACCGTGTTGCAGCACGTCTGTGTTACAGCACGTCCGTGTTGCAGCACGTCCGTGTTGCAGCACGTCCGTGTTGCAGCACGTCCGTGTTGCAGCACGTCCGTGTTGCAGCACGTCCGTGTTGCAGCACGTCTGTGTTGCAGCACGTCTGTGTTGCAACACAGACGTGCTTCCGTGTACCCTATTCAAGTGTACTACTAGAAACTTGTTACGTTTCTGTAACTTATTAAGTTTCTGTAACTTATTAAGTTTCAGTAACTTATTAAGTTTCTATAACTTAGTAAGTTTATGTTCCGTAAGTTAGGTTAAGATGTCGCGTATTCTCAAGTTTTTTTTTCAAGCCATCCTGACGGTAGACCGGCCTCTAATTAAGCGTAATTTCAGGCCCTATATCGCGATCGATCTACCGACACCGGAAAGATCAGTGTACGCCATTGCAATCAATCGTTATTGTCTTTCATATCGATCGTAGAGCGTCGTATCGATTATTCGCCAGTGGCCATTTCCGATCAATCGTCATCTTTGAAGTGTTCCGCGACAAGCAAAGCCAAGGATCAGATATATATTAAACATTATATAGACTTGCATATTGCGCCTTATGTAACATACTTGTAAGTGTTCTATGCGCCGAATTTCGAGTAGCAGCCATTTTTGAGTAGAAAGAATTTCGAGTAGCAATCATTTTCGAGTAGGAAAAATTTTGGGAGCAGTCATTTTCGAGAAGGATGAATTTTGGGTACGGTAGTAGGTAGTCATTTTCGAGTAGGAAGAATTTCGGGTAGCAGTCGTTTTCGAGTAGGAAGAATTTAAAGTAGCAGCCATCTTCGTGTAGGAAGAATTTCGAGTAGCAGTCGTTTTCTAGTAGGAAGAATTTCGAGTAGCAGCTATTTTTGAGTTGGAAGAATTTCGAGTAGAAGTCGTTTTCGAGTTGGAAGAATTTCAAGTAGCAGTCGTACTTTACTGCTTTATCTTTATATAATTAAAGTTCATTTCTCTTTTCCCTTTACAAATGACAATAGCACAATAATCATTCTTGTTCAGCTAGCACAAGTGCCGCGCTACATGCTTGTCTTCGCTGAAGTGGAGTTATATATATATTATATATAATTAAAGTTCATTTCTCTTTTCCCTTCACAAATGACGTGTCAACATCACAATAATCATTATTGTCCAGCTCGCACAAGTGCCGCGCTACATGCTCGTCTTCGCTGAAGTGGAGTTTGAAGAGAAGCAGTACACGTGGGGCACCGCCCCCGACTTCGACAGGGGCGAATGGACCAGCGTTAAAGACAACTTGGGGCTCGAGTTTCCTAACGTAAGTATTTTTATCGCTGAAAAATATTGTCTATTATGGACCAGCGTTAAAGACAACTTGGGACTCGAGTTTCCTAACGTAAGCATTTTTATCGCAGAAAAATAGTGTATTTTTTAATTCAGCTAAATTTACTTGCATATTTTTTCAATGTATATCAATTAATGCTCGTTTATTTATGGTTAATTAGCTATTTGTTTTGTTAGTGTCTATTTTAATTCAGCTGGATTTAGTTGGCTAATTTTTAAAGTTAAATCAATAAGCGCTCGTTTATTTGTGGATAATTAGCCATTTGTTGTGTTGTTGGAGCATTTTTTTAGTTTCAATAACATTTGTCATCCATCAAATTGATATTCATTGACAATTTCCTCGGATCTCGCCTCGAACGTTCCATGCACCAAATGAACGTTCCCGTATGCAAACGTTTAGCATGATTATATTGCTGAACGTTCCCGTATGCAAACGTTTAACCTGATTCTATTATTGATCATTCCTGCATGCAAATGTTTAACATGATTCTATCGTTGAACGTTGCCGTATGCAAACGTTTAACATGATTATATCGTTTAACGTTACCGTATACAAACGTTTAACATGATTCTACTCTTGAACGTTCCCGCATGCAAACGTTTAACATGATTCTATCGTTGAACGTTCCCGTATAGAAACGTTTAACATGATTATATTGTTGATCCTTCCCGTATGCAAACGTTTAACACGATTCTACTGTTGAATATTGCCTATGCAAACGTTTAACATGATTCTACTGTTGAACGTTGCCGTATACAAACGTTAAACATGATTTTATCGTTTAACGTTCCCGTATGCAAACGTTTAACATACAGTGGGGGGAAATAAATATTCGTACACTTGAAAAATCGTATTTTAATGTATGTAAGTAAGTTAAAGACAACTTGGGGCTCGAGTTTCCAAACGTAAGTATTTTTATCGCAGAAAAATATTGTCTATTATGGACCAGCGTTAAAGACAACTTGGGACTCGAGTTTCCTAACGTAAGTATTTTTATAGCAGAAAAAATAGTATCTATTTTCATTCAGCTGGATTTACTGGACATATTTTTTCTATGTATATCAATTGGTGATTGTATATTCGTGGTTAATTTGCCATTTTTTCAGCATTTATTCACTTTAGTCCATACTATTTGTCATCCATAAAATTGATATTCATGTACAACTTCCTTCGCCTTGAACGTTCCATACCCCAAAAAGAACGTTGCCATGTGCAAATGTATTCAAACGTTCCCGTATTCAAACGTTCAACGCGATTATATCGTTGAACGTTCCCGTATGCAAACGTTTAACATGATTCTATTGTTGAACGTTGCCGTATACAAACGTTTAACATGATTCTATTGTTGAACGTTGCCGTGTACAAACGTTTAACATGATTCTATCGTTGAACGTTCCCGTATGCAAATGTTTAACATGATTATATCGTTGAGCGTTGCCGTATACAAACGTTTAACATGATTCTACTGATGAACATTCCCGTATGCAAACGTTTAACTTAATTCTATTGTTGAACGTTCCCGCATGCAAACGTTTAACATGATTCTATCGTTGAACGTTGCCGTATGCAAACGTTTAAAATTATTGAACGTTCCCGTATGCAAACGTTTAACACTATTATATCGTTGAACGTTCCCGTATACAAACGTTTAACATATTATTGAACGTTCCCGTATGCAAATGTTTAACATATTATTGAACGTTCCCGTATGCAAATGTTTAACATGATTTTTAACGTTGCCACAGTTGCCGTATTTCATAGACGGTGAAGTCAAGATGACCGAGAGCTCGGCCATCACCAAGCATCTGGCCCGGCGCTACAATTTACTGGGAAGCACTGAAGAGGAACACATCAGAGTGGACATGGCAGAGGGCATCATTGCTGACATCCTGTGTGCTGTCTCCACACTCTGCCACGACCCTGAATTCGTGAGTAGACATTGATGAATTCGTGGGTAGATGAATTTGTGAGTGTAATGAATTCGTGAGTAGATGTTGATGAATTCCTGAGTTTGATGAATTTGTGAGTTGATATTGATGAATTTGTGGGTTGATATTGATGAATTTGTGGGTTGATATTGATGAATTCGTGAGTAGAATTGATGAATTCGTGAGTAGATATTGATGAATTCGTGGGTAGACATTGATGAATTCGTGAGTAGATATTGATGAATTCGTGAGTAGACATTGATGAATTCGAGAGTAGACATTGATGAATTCGTGAGTAGACATTGATGAATTCGTGAGTAGACATTGATGAATTCGTGAGTAGACATTGATGAATTCGTGAGTAGACATTGATGAATTCGTGAGTAGACATTGATGAATTCGTGAGTAGACATTGATGAATTCGTGAGTAGACATTGATGAATTCGTGAGTAGACATTGATGAATTCGTGAGTAGACATTGATGAATTCGTGAGTAGACATTGATGAATTCGTGAGTAGACATTGATGAATTCGTGAGTAGACATTGATGAATTCGTGAGTAGACATTGATGAATTCGTGAGTAGACATTGATGAATTCGTGAGTAGACATTGATGAATTCGTGAGTAGACATTGATGAATTCGTGAGTAGACATTGATGAATTCGTGAGTAGACATTGATGAATTCGTGAGTAGACATTGATGAATTCGTGAGTAGACATTGATGAATTCGTGAGTAGACATTGATGAATTCGTGAGTAGACATTGATGAATTCGTGAGTAGACATTGATGAATTCGTGAGTAGACATTGATGAATTCGTGAGTAGACATTGATGAATTCGTGAGTAGACATTGATGAATTCGTGAGTAGACATTGATGAATTCGTGAGTAGACATTGATGAATTCGTGAGTAGACATTGATGAATTCGTGAGTAGACATTGATGANGAATTAGTGAGTAGTGATGAATTCGTGAGTTTGATGAATTCGTGAGTAGACATTGATGAATTCGTGAGTTGATATTGATGAATTTGTGAGTATGATGAATTTGTGAGTTTGATGAATTTGTGAGTAGACATTGATGAATTCGTGAGTAGACATTGATGAATTCGTGAGTAGACATTGGCGAAGCCAATGTCTACATTTCTAACAGCATTACTTGTTCTGGCCTGAGGGTGATTTTGTGACGTGAATATATGGCTAATTTATTCAATTTATTAATTTATTTAGACTATCCTTGGGATTATTTGAGCTTGAAGCTTTATATAAGAAAACATTAAAGCTGCTTAATAATCAACCAAAATTAATTAATAATCTTTATCTTGATTTGAGGTTTAGATCGCTAACTCAAAAAGGTGCGATATGAACTGGTAATATATTATATTATATTGTATTATATTATATTATATTATATTATTACTATTTTCTATTATATTATGACACACAATACTCTTAGGAAATAAATTGACATCAGACTTGCGTTGTTACAGGAAACCAAACTTGTGACATTCATCGAAAACCTAGACGTTTCTCTGCTGAAATTGGCGAAATTGATCAAGAACAACAGCTTCGTCATCGGTGAAAAGGTGGGACTAGAAAATGTAGCGATTAAGGCGTTTGTGGTTAAAAAATTGCAGTTTTTATATAACATTAATAATAGTTAACTTGCAGAAATAATGTGGTGGGTTTCATACGTAAAATGTGGCAGTTTTTATACGACATTAATAATATTTGTAGTTTTAAAGCAAAGTTATCCTATAAACGTTCGTTTTAGAAGAGCTGGAAGCATGATTAAACATCGGGAAAATATTCGATTATTTCACTTAATCAATCTTTCGGTTTTCGTGTTCTTATTGATACTTGGAATCCAGTTGTCAGTTACTGGAGGCCATACTAAGTTGCCTAGCCTGTCAATAAACTTCTAATTCAGGATCCATACTTTCAAAAAAAGTTAAGAGATCGTAAGTTCATCAGCCAATCATTGACGGCATTAGCGCATTTTCTCATTTATGGAAAAAATGCGCTATTGTGCTCGCCATGTCCGTCCGTCCGTCTGTCTGTTTGTCCGTCTGTCCGTGACCTCAAGTTTTCGTCAACGAGAAAATGCGCTCTCTGTCACTCACTGCACTGAGTACTGAGTTATATTTTTGTATTCCAGTTGACGTGGGTGGATTTAAAAAACTAGGTTGCGGGGTTACAAACTATTTGTAATCACACAGCTTCTGGTTGTCTGCCTCTCATTCATTTGTTTAATGTGCTCCTGTATTTTTGTATTCCAGTTGACGTGGGTGGATTTCGCGTTGTTTGAGCTGCTGGAAATATATTTGGCCGTGGCCCCTGATAGCCTCGAGAAACACCCCAGCCTGCAAGCCTTCCATAAACGCATCCGTGAGCTGCCAGGCGTCAAGGAGTACAGATTGTCCGAGCAATTCAGGAAAATAAAGTGCCGGTTCTTTTCTCCCGAAGCCATGTTCGGCAGTGGTCTCAAGAAGTGAAGACATCGCTCCAAAATGAAATTAGTTCCAAGTGTAAATGTTGCGCCCAAGTTTAAATGTTTCGCACGATTTCTGAGCCATATTTCCATGCCAATTCAGATAATAGAAAGAAAAGAAAAAGAAAGACATCGACAGTAAATGAAATTAATTCTTAATATAACGGTATAATAAATAATAAACATTGACTGCATCATGTAACAAATTACCTAAGTTTTTCCTACGATTTTATGAGCCATATTTCCCTGCCAGACCAGATAAAATCTCGAAAAAAGAATCCTGATTTTTCGTAATTTATTTGTCTAAAAAATCAGGCCCCAGTATCAGAACGTTCTCATTGATAGTGTGCTCACCATTCCAGAAATAATCATATATTCCAGTTTTATTATCAGGATGTGATTATCCAGATAAACCAGTAATTTATTATCGGCGACTTAATAACGAGGTGGTAATATCTTGGAATTGATTTTATGTTGAACCTCTGACGTGTGTAGAACCTCTCTTCAACACGCGTAATACGTGTTCAACCTCTGTGTTACACATATATTCACACATATATTCACGTGTTAAGATTACTGTATTAGTTGTCTGTGTCAACCAACGGACGTTACTAATTCAATGGCCTCTGCTGAAGCTAAGGAGCAATATGCGAAACAATCAATCAAACGCGCCTTTATTTTCTAGACTATAATTCAAATTACAGATAATTAATTACATTTCCTCTCAGGTTTTGTTGCTGATGAAACAAAATCGCACCGAAAGAAAACCATTCGATTTATCGATAGAATTATTTCGTCGTAATAAGATGATGTATCCGTTGAGATTATTTCTACTACAGCGTTCAAGCTATGGTGAAAAAAACATTGACTGCATCGTGTAACAAATTACTTGAATCGCTAAATGAAAGAATCTAAGACGAAATTGAAATTTTCGCTAACGCGGAGGAAGAATCTGGTGATCTTGGTGCTTGAACTTGAATGTTTCTATAAACTAAACGGTCTCTATTTTGTTTGTTGAACCCCATTCAAATTCGTTGGATATTAAATGTATATTTAATGGCGGGAAAATGTGCATATAGATGTTATCTGAAATAATAAAAAATATATTTGTTTAGCATTATGTCCATTGCACGTCCCAATTACCATTAGAAATGTCTTTCTTCAGACACCTTAAAGTTTTGTAAATCGTGCTTTTTGTTTCATTTTAGCAGTTAGTTAATAATGTTAGTTAATGGAGAAGTGCCTTCTGAAGTTTATGTGTGTAAAGTTCTTGTATTTTTAGATAAAAACTTTCCGGTCTAAGCTCGCGCTGTGACAATAGACTTGTTCTATCATGTCAACTGCATTTATATTTAATAAAAAATTTAATCCTTTGTAAAGTTTGATTATAAGCTAAAGTTGTGCAACGAACCAATATCCGTCGTAACCATCTCTTCCTAATCAGTTTCATGAATTTATCGATAAGCTCTTGAATTAATTTTATAATTGAAATCATTCAATTAATTTATCGCAAATTTGTAACCGAATTTCAGTAACTATTACTTGATATAATTTGAGAATAATTAGCAAATTACTTGATCGATCTGCTCACAAATTAATTTTGAAACTGAAACCATGCTCGAAAATTTATCGTGAATTTGTAACCGAATTTCAGCAACTATTACTTGATAAACTTTAAGAATAATTAGTAAATTACTTGATCGATCTGCTCCTAAACTAATTTTTTAATTTAAACCATGCTCGAAAATTTATCGCGAATTTGTAACCGAATTTCAGCAACTATTACTTGATGTAATTCAAGAATAATTAGCAAATTACTTGACATTTGTCCTTGATATACTTCAAGAATAATGGTGAAATTACTCGATATTTGTCTCTCGTGAACGAACCCGAGCTGAAATGCGTCTAGAGAGAGCATGGTTTCGCACTTCGCTGTTTTAGCGATCGCGTCTAAATAGAAAGCTTGGCCATTGAGTTATTTATATACGGATACTTTAAAAGTCATTCAAATTAATGGACAGCTCGCGTATTATGACCGCGTAGCGACCACATCGTGACCAACGGATTTGGTAGCTGCGTTAGATTGCTGCTAATTTTCTGCCAGCGCAGTAATATTTCACCTTAAATTTCAATATGTCATTTCTCTTTGAATTTCTGATTGACCGTAGCCAGTTCACCTTGAATTGCTAATTAATCGGGCAGCTTAGAAATTCTAAACGGAAATCATTTTTTCTGACCCTTAGCATGGCGCTGTCACAAGTGCCATTTGACGTGCCTTGGCCTTGCAATCATTGAGTGTCATTCAAAACTCGAGGCTGGAAATGCCTGGACTCTGCAATAGCGCCATTACGTGTCTCGGTAATCCTGCTCTGTACTGATCAATTTACTCATTTCTGGGCCCATACTTTCAAAAAAAAGTTAAGAGATCGTAAGTTCATCAGCCAATCATTGACGGCCTTTCAAGCAAAATCCACCAATCATAGACAAATCATTCATTTTGAACGTGGTAAAAAAACTGTGTGCATACGATCATTAATTCGTAGACAAAACACTGCGCAAATCATTTTTGGAAAAATACATTACATCCTCCCGTACTGGAAAGCATGAGCTGGGTGCCGTTCTAAGACAAAAATAAAAAATTTTATTGTGCTCATTGTTACTATACTAGGTAAGACAGAGCGCTAAGTGATACACTAACCGTTATCATTTCTAGGTATGTTACTTAATGGCAGCGTAAATCTCATATTCTTAGTATCTGTACTACTCACCCCCTTCAAAATTATTGATTTCGAACCGCTTTCCAAGTATGTGGAATCCAACAGCAAAATTGTCTTCGTTTTTAGCTTCATTCAAATTTACAACTAATTTCCTTCCTGAAATTGAGTCCAAATTTCGACGTAATTCAGCACAACCGCTCAACGCCTGAGTTCTTCCACAGTAGCAATAATATTGACGATTCCTAAGCGCCAGCAATACAAATATCTGACAGCGTTTTGACTATTATTGCATCTCGGTTAGGAACAAATATTATTGTGATTTTATCGTCGAAATTTGCAACGAGCGTGGGTGTATTGTCTATACATTGCACCAATGCAGTACGGTCCGTTGCCAGAGCAGTACGGTCTGTTGCCAGAGCAGCTCGGTCTGTTGCCAGAGCAGCACGGTCCGTTGCCGTCAACGGGCCGACGTACGTTGCTTGGTCCGTTACCAGAGCAGCGAAAATGTTAGGTTATCTTCTATTCCTGAGAGAGTAAAGAACATGGATTGAAATTCAAACGATGGGCAGTGAAATATAGCATGTCCTGGCTGAGTATTTTTGCCTGGAGTTAGAAATTTTTTTTATTTTTGTACACTACTTTGATGTGATATACGCGAGACGGATAGTGCCGCAGACGGAACTTCACTTTTTGTTGTTTGTATGCTACAAATCTTTTAATCAATAGTTAACACACTCCTGTCCTATCGATCTGAAATTTGCACACTTGCGTAAAGTCGGAGAAAGTGCATGAAACAATTAACAGAATAAATAATTTTGAAAATTAAAAAAAAATTAAAAAATTGAGAAAATAATTTTGTCTGCTACAAATCTTATAAACGATATTTTTAACACACTTCTATAACCTACCCAATCTATCTGTAATTTTGCACACTTGCGCAAAGGCGGAGACAATGCATGAATCAATTGAAAGAACAAATAACGTTGAAATTTTACCTTTTTTTATAAATTAAAAAATTAAAAGTATTTTTTTAATATTTGAAAATAAAATTAGGAATTCATTGTACATGTGTAAGATCGGAGACACCGGCCTCTTATTAGTGTTGTATTAAAAAAAATTGTTTATAAACGCATTTTATTTAAAGTATTGATTTTTTACATTCACTGCCTATTTGAGACCATAAATAATTTAGGGGCTATCCATACCGAAAATTAGATCAGTTTTCTTACGAGTTGCTAAAACTTATTTCCTAAACCTAACTGTGATGGTTATTTTATATTATGACAAAAACTTTCAAATCTTTCGTATCAACTGCAGGAAACAATAAAACCAAAATCCATAACCGAATTGCTTCAATTACACGATGATAAAACATATTACAGTGGGAATAGTGTACAATTATTCTAATTCATGCATCAGTATACAATGAATGTAAGCAAAGGGTCCACGTCTCGCTTTTGAAATTCAAAATTCATTATCCAGCATCAAAATGATTTCCCTCCCGATAATAATGCAGAATATATTGTTGCTCTCATCATATTAGGCCGAGTGATCACTCATTTTATATATGCCATATGTGGTGCATATAGCAGATTAGGGCCATAGCTCCTATCAATCTTTCCTCGAGGCCTTCGCTCTTTATTCGAGTCTCTTGCCCGGCCGCAGCAACAGTTTCTAGGAGAAATATAAAGTACAAGTATGAGTCGAATTACCCTACCTAACTTACGCATTACCCTACCAAACTTACTCATTACCCTACAAAGTTAACTCATTACCCTAATAAGATATGTACACATTACCATAACAAGCTTACTCACTAACCTACCAAGCTTCATCATTAAACTACCAAGCTTTCTTATGTACTCACTACACTGCCAAGCTTCAGTATAGATGCTGTCTCTTATACACATCTAGATGTGTATAAGAGACAGCTCCCGAGCAGGCTAGCAAAGACAGACAGATTCTCCCGAGCAGGCTAGCAAAGACGGACAGNTTATGTACTCACTACACTGCCAAGCTTCCGTATGTACTCATTAAACTACCAAGCTTTCTTATGTACTCACTACACTGCCAAGCTTCAGTATGTACTCATTAAACTACCAAGCTTTCTTGTGTTCTCACCGGCAAAAACGAGTCGAAAAAACGTCGGCGAGGTTTTGCGTCCGGCGCCAGCGACGTTTAAATGATTTTTCAAAGTAGACAATAATTGACAAAATTTTCGTCCAACTCGCCGTAGTCCGGACGCTGCTCTGAACGTGTTCTACGAGTTTACTTTTTAGACTATTGTACAAGCTGCGTAATTTTTTAAGGTAGATGTCCGACGGCTCGAACACGCTGGGAGGCAACGAATGATGTCGAGTTCAGGAGCAGAAGGTGGTTTGGAATAAGAGCATCACAGTCATTCGGGTCGTCCGAAATCGGGGTGAGGGGTCTGTTTTCAATATACTTCCAACTTTGCAGAAGAGAGCATTGAGACTCGTCTGTTAACCACGAAGGTTGCTCAAGTACCAGAGCAGTTAAAATTTTTCGAACGCTTTGAATCAGATTTTCCCACACGCCTCTAACAATCCAGTATTTTTTAAAAGGTTCTGAAAGAACCGAGTTTTTTCCAAGGTGTCCCAGAAACCGATGAGTTTTTTTTTTTTCAAAAGATCAGCGTTGTGAGAGAAGGCAGGTAGCAGAATAGGACGTACCTTTCTTCGTGACACAATATTTGAGCGTCTCATCCGTCCTCCAAATCGAAGGATGCAGTTTTCGGCGTAAAACGGATTCAACTTCTGAAGGTCAGTTCGTTTCATGCCATCTCGCTTCAGAATATTCGGCCTAAACTGTTATAATTTCAAGTGTATCAGTTCAGCCGTTTCTGAGACAGAATTAGTAGTAATAATTTTTGTTTATTTTAATCGAAAATTCTCTCAAACTTTGAAATTTATTCACTTTAAAGCGGCAAAAAGTCTGTCATAATTTTAGGAACATCAGTTTAGCCGATTCTAAAATAGAATTAGTATTCATAACGTTTTAAATTCAACTGGAAAATTCTCTTAAACCTAGAAATTTATTCACATTAAAGTGACAAAAAGACTTATAATTTCAAGAATAACAGTTCAGCCGTTTCTAAAATTCGATTAGTATTCATAACTTTTTAAATTCAGCTCGAAAGTTCTCCCAAACCTAGCAGCTTATCTACTTTAAAGTGGGCCTTTAACATGACTGGGCCTTTACTGTACAGTTAAGCACCACCACTGAAACTTCCCTGAGCCTCTACTTTAACTTCCATTCAGTATTTTAATTANGTTATGTTATTTTATGTTATGTTATGTTATGTTATGTTATGTTATGTTATGTTATGTTATGTTATGTTATGTTATGTTATGTTATGTTATGTTATGTTATGTTTTGTTATGTTATATGTAAAACTTAAAGCTCATTTTAATCACAGTTCATGTTTAATTTTAACCGCTTGATAATGGTTATAACGTGAGAAATTACAACTAATTCAATAATATAAGGAAGCTTTATCTGCTATAGGTTAAAATATTACTGCAGGTAACCGGTGAACATTACATACTCGGGATTAATGAAATTTGTGAAGACCGTTAACCTATATTCATTAATAAACTAAATAAAACCAAACTACTAATAAATCAAATAAAGCT